AAACAGGCAATGTACAGCGTAATTGCTCATCACCTGCTAATCAATACCCAGCCCGTTCCCGGCCAGCGACCCCGAGATACCAAGATCCCACAATTGCAATCCCAGAAGCGAGAGATCTCCTTCCCAACCACCCCTCCTTTATATAGTGAGCATGACGTTCCATGATATGGAATATTTCACTGGCCAGTTTGGGTCTGGTGCTCTGGCCGTGCTCCCTCCCTGCTCCCTGTGCCCTTGCGCACGGCCAGGACATGGGGAGTTGGAGAGTCCTTGAAGTCTCGGTAGCAGCTGAAAACATCAGTGTGCTGTCAGCATTCTTCTCATACTAAACCCAAAGCTAAATCCAAAACACAGCACTCATCTAGTCCCTGAAAAGAGTATTAACTCTATTTCAGCCCAAACCAAGACACTGCCCAACCCTTATTTCTTCCCAGGCTCAGCTTTGCTCCTGATTTCTCTACCTCCTCCCTGGCCTCAGCGGTGCAGGGGGACAGGGAACTGGGGTTCATCACCCATTGTTTCTGCCACTCCTTCCTCCTCAGAGGGAGGACTGCTCATATTCTCCCCTGCTCCAACGTGGGGTCCTTCTCATGGGAGACAGTCCTCCACGAACTTCTCCAACACGAGTCCTGCCCACGGGCCGCAGTCCTCCCAGCAACAGACTGCTCCAGCATGGGCTTCCCTCAGCACCCCGGCCTTCCTCAGGTGCAGCCCCCTGCTCTGGCGTGGGGCCCTCCACTGGCTACAGCTCAGTATCTGCTCCACGGGCTGCAAGGGCACAGCCTGCCCTCTCACATAGGCTGCAGGGGGGTCTCTGCTCCAGCACATTTTTCCTCACTTCCCCTCCTTTTTTCAGCTGACCTCAGTGTTTGCATAGTTATTTCCCTCAGTCCTACTCTCAGGTTCCCCTTCTTAAATACATTATGACAGAGGCCCAGCCACTGTTGCTAACTGCCTCAGCCGCGGCCAGAGGTGGGTCCGACTTGGAGCCAAATGAGCCTTGAGAAGCCTCTCACAGGGGCTGCTGCTGTAGCCCCCTCCCCTGCTACCAAAAACCCCGCCACACACAAAGCCAATGCAACAGGATACTTCAATTTTGGCAAAAGAGGAACTAGTATTATAAGGATTTAACCATGGTGATATTATAAATATGTCAGACCAAAACTCAGACAGTATGGAAGGCTAGAGAGAAGGTTCATTAGATGAAATAATCATAGTTTGGGCAAGGACATTGAGAAGAGGACAGAAAAGCAGCACAAGGGTCTGCCATTCAAACTCTTGAACAAGATGAGAAAAAGGAAACATCACACACCCTCATAATTTTGTATCTATAAACACACTTGATGCTTTTCTTTCCTATATAGTCCTTGTAGAAATACAGTTGACTCTTGGACTAAAATACCTAACTCTTCTCTCACTGGTTTTCTAACGTGTAATAATGTAAAACACTTAATAATGGCAATTAACATGTCATTGCAATTACACACCATCATGAGGAGAGGAGAATGTACATACAAAGGAAGGAACTGCTAACTTTTCAGATTTTCCACCTATATACAAAAGCTTTACTAATGTAGTTTTGAATAAAGGGTATTACAATAGCACAGAAGAATCAACATTTAGAAAATGAACATCACAAGCTAGGTTTTCAGCCTAATTTTATCAGGAAAGAGACACTGAAGAGTCAGTTTACGAGAGCAGAGTTGAGGATAAAACTTAAGATGTATCAACATAAACAAAATTACAAGCATAGCAAAACTAGTTTCCTCGAAATTCATGCATCAAATGCAACTGCACATTTCAATTTATTTATAAGAACCTAAAAACTTCACATGATCATGATAAATGGATGACGGTATTTTTTAAACTTAATGTCAGTGGTTTATAAAGATTAATACCCACATTCTTCCTTGCATAAATTAACTATCCAGAACTGATAGGCTGAAACTGATTCTCTGTTCTTAGGAGGTGTAACATACCTATGAACAATGGTAACATAATTTATAATGTTTCATAGTTGCAATGATTTCTTTATGCCATTCATTACTTTTGCTTTCCTTTATAAGGAACAGATCATCACTTAAACTGGCTATTTGCAATTAGACATCCTTTTCTCTTTGAAAGACCTTATTTCATCCCTTTTTTAGTCTTCTGTAGTGCTAGTTTTCCTCTGAACACAGTACCATATACAAATAAATCAAAAGAATAAAACACAACTGAAACAATACAAAATATCCAATTTCACAAGGATAGGTGAATCTGAAACAGAGAAACCAATACAATTCAAAAAATAAGAACAGCATTATTAGCACATACAATAAATGTCATATTATCACTTTAAAAAATCAAACGCAAAAAACAACCAACCAACCAAAGAACAACAACAAAAACGCCCAACCTTTCAAATGCTCACAATTCACCCTTTTTGATCTGCCACAGAATTCTCCTTCCCACAGTGCTACATCAGAGAAGTACATATATCACAACAGGAGACAGACAATTTTCCTGTACACATATGTTTTGCTTCAGCAACCCCCCAAGCTGCTTGCAAGAAGCCACAAGGAGGTATTTTCACAGGGAGCTCAGTTCCTTCCCACCCTCTCAGCTATATAGCTCCCTTATTAAGATTATCTTAAGGACAGAAATATAACATCCTAGATCCAAGAAACAGAGGGACTAATCTACTTGCTACTCAGCTCCTCACAAAATTTTTGTGATGACATTAGTGGGAGTTACATCGTACCTTAAAAATGTCCATATCAGAAACACAGCTAAAAGTACTGAATTTACCCTTCAAATCATCAGTAACCCAAAATAACTCACACTAATAACATCATTTTATAGAATGATTCGCCATCCAATGTTCAAGTGACACTGTGCGAAAGGAGATACAAAATCGATACGCCCAACTCTTAACAGTTTGGGGAAGTACATTTTGTATCTGGATCTGACCTATCAATCAGAGAGGCAGTTTAAAATAATTTTTTAAGTAGGTAATTCTGTTGCATGATTTAGAATTCTGAAACACCAGGATTACCAGGGAAAGTGTGTTTACTGTATTTACAAAACATGTACTATATTCTTGAATAGTATTTTAACACAACAGGACTAATCACTTCCCTCGCCAATCTCGAAGATGCAGTTGTGGATGCACTCAGCCATTCAACTCAAATATGAATATCTGACATTCTGAGACCACAGTGTCAATATTTTGAATGAAGCATGTTATTTAAAAAACATTCTTCCCCCAATATGCCCATGTTGGCATGTGCTGTAAAACACTATTTTTCTGTAGAAAACACAGATCCATTATAAATCTATTCTTGCATTCCTTTCATCTCAAACATGACATAATGTACGTTATCCTTCCTAATTATCGAGTAATTTCCAAAAAAAAGTTAGATACCATCTTCTATTACACATTTAACTTTTATATTTAGACAGAGCAATATATGAATGTTTTACTCCCTCGGAACACAGTTACAGTGCTAATACACTGAGGAGTAGACCAAGAGTTGCTTGCACTGTCTCCTATAATTAGTCTTAATAATTATTTCTTTGTATGTGAGCTAATAAAAAAAAAAAATCTTCCCAAAGCAAGTAGGTGACACTGCCATAGGGAATCATCTACTCAGCAGATTGCTTAAGAACACACATGCCACTTGAAGTTAAACAAATTAAATTATCGTGTGCCAACCAAAGATTCTACCAAAGCTTACATAAGATTCTCTACACATGGTTTAGAACAAATATATGAATGTTTATTTTTTTAGAACCTCATGATATGTAGACCAACACATCACTGCTACTGAAGTTACAGTTTCTGCTTTTACTAATGTGAAATATTGTCCAATCATTCAGCTGTGCTCAACCAAAGAATCTAAAATACATCAAAAAGCCAGGAATCTACTCTGGAAAGATGACCAATCTTAGCTGACCAATGACAGATTTCCCCCTCCCCATTATTATTGGAACGTCTAACTATTCTTCAAGACAAGGAAATTTTGAAAAAACATCTGAAATGTGCCATTTAAATCAATCACAGTTGTGTAGTTAAAAAGAAACATTTAGCTCAGTTAATTTGAAAGAAGAATTGTAAAACTCCTAAGATTTCATAGCAGGTTAAAGAGATTCATGTATTTAATTCATTAGCAATTGACTCGTTTCTTCCCTTTATTAACAGCTCTAGCAATAACTGCAGAAATTTGTTTCAGTCCAACAGGAAAGATTTGCAACCTCCTAGGCCCTATAAGCAATAGCAAGGTTCATAATCAGCTTCCATTAAAAGCTAACTTACACAGGGGAAAAAAATAATCCTCTGGTAATGATTTTCTGTACTAAGATGTGGAGATACACACAGTGGAGTAGCTCAGTGAACAACCAACTAGCACTATTTGCAGTAAATTCTCCTACATTCATACCTAAATCACTTGACAGGTATACCAACTGACAACTGTAAAGCAAGGAAAACATCCATGCTGTGAGGATAAAGTCTGTATCCAGTGTCAGCAGACCCAGAAAGGGCCTGCACATCCATCTCTGCTTACAGTTTTTGCACTGTAATATCCATAACCCGATCACAATAAAAAAAACACCATTCAGTTATGGGGACTCCAGTTCGGCAGCTTCAGGTTACCACAGTAAAGGCAGTACTTTTGAAGATACACAAATTAGCTTTAGAGCAATGAGGATCCAAGCTAAGTCCCCTTTTTAGACAAGAGTCCACCCTCACGTTTCATAAGCAAAGTATAATCTGGGAAAATTAATTTAGTTCTGACTTCACTTACATACTGCTTCATGCACCTAGTTTGCTCAAGTAACTTCTACCCAGCTCTACACTGTACGGAACAGGAATACCTACTGTGCAGGGATGTTTTATAAAGAAGCAACAGCTTCACAGATCTTTACACAATCTAATCTCCCACTGGTTTCCTGTTGAAATGTTATTAAAAGTATTCAAAGCATATAAAAGAATAATCAGATTCTGAAAATTATCATACCTGATACAGCAAGAAAATCATCAATACTTGTTATATCATCCACAGCTTCAGTAAGAATATGGACGTGATTCTCCCACGTACTCCGATACATCTCCATGTTGTTTTTCACAACCTGACTTTTTGGTCTGGCAGCAAGAGCTAAAGCAGCATTAATAACCTGTATCAAAAATAAACACAAAACTCAACATCTCAATAATTATATCTTCAGAAAGAAAATTGTACGTTTTACTTAAAATTGCATAGCAGCATTTCTGTTCTCTAAGCAAAATCGTTGCTCAGCTTTTGTTTCTGTTCTCAGCAGGAGTATCAGTCAGATGTTGCTTAGGCTAAACTCCATTTGAGCTTCATAAATTAAGAAGCTAATGGAATAGGATAGTAAAAATCCCAGCATTTTATTTTTAGTTGGAAAATGCATACTATTCCAGTTTGCAAGACATTAATACAAGGAAGGTTTTACTCACACACATATCAGTACAGCATACATCACTTCAGTTTTGAGTTTAAGCTCTGTAACTGTTATCACAGAGCTTACTGTGGACTATATTGACTGAAAGAGGTATCAGCCTCTGTCGTGTAAAAGTGGAAGGTTTTACCAGGACAAGAGATATCTTTTAGGATCAGTGGCATGGGACATAACACATATGAAATCTAAATAAAAGCAGCTGACTGCTATTTCTAAATCAGTTAGGCCTAAAAATATTAACTACGTTCACATGAAGAGGGTAGATTCCAACTCTACCAGGAAAGACTGATTGAAGATGGAAATACTGGATCCTAAAGCGATTACTTCTACAGATACCTCTTCAATCTGTTAATTAGCTAGAGGGCTTTTCCCCCAATATGGCTTTTTGCCAATGTTATATCTATACACATTATTTAAATTGAACTAGTACATATCCCAGGTAGAAGCTGAACATTAACCCTATACTAACCTTTTTTCCCCGTTCCCAATATTGCTTATTTATCAAAGGGAGAATGGTTTTTGGAACACAAAACACCATATAAAGCAAAAAATGGGAAGAATAACCAATATATCACACTAATCCACAGTGCTGACAGTATACTTTCATGAAACATTCTTGTATATCATACCACTTCAATCGAGTCATTGCATCAAAGAATAAGAAATAGGGAATTCCTCATCCTAAGCCTATCTGATGTGTCTTTACAGTAATATCACTCCCCTGGACTCTGTTCTGGACTATAAGCTAAGTTTGTAATCAGTTTTGTTTGGCTGGTATTTTTACATATCCCATGAACTTACACAGCTGGTGAGATCTAAATAATGACAAACTTACCAATATTTGTGCTCTCCTAATGAGGGAACATACACAAGAATACTACTGGGATTGAGTTTTTTACTAATGATCTCAGTAAGGAAAAGTAGACCACATACTTATTACTTTACCAGGCAGTTGGAGGAGGAGAAGAGTATGAAACTACAATGAATAAAATGACAAGATTTCTTCACCAACTCCACAAGTGATCTAAAAAAAAAAAATGGAATTCTGTCCTGTAAGTACAAATATAAAAGCATGCTATTCTCCAGGAAGGAAAAAAAATTATCCCAATAGGCATAACAACTTGAGAATTGGAACCAACTGGACAGGTAGCAGCAAAAATGCATCTGCATTTACAGTGCATCAGTTAATGAATACAAGTCCACCATGACAAGTTGCAAAAAATAAGGTTCTGTCAGAGAAACCAAAAGTATGACAAGTAAAAAAAGAGAAATACATGAAAAAAACATGAGGCAAGTGTTTTGCTCTACTTTTGCACTATTAATTTTTTAAATACCCTGTCCACTTTGGCACATCATACTTCTTGAAAGACAAAAAGAGTTTCTCTCCCACTGAAGACAGAACAGCATCAACATCATAATTGATCTAGAAAGCATAAAACTGTGAGAAAAGACTGAAAAAACTGAAGTCAATCTAGAGAAGGAGCGAGGCTGAAGAGAAACACAGAGTAGCTGTAGAGGTGAAATGAATAAACTACTCTATGTGCATCAGGAAAAGAAGAATCTTAAAACTGCAGGAAGGGAAAAACATAAAAAAGAACACAACAAAAAAAAACGCCAAATCAACCAGATAAACACTAGCTCAACTTTTTGCAGGCAAAAAGCTCTCCATATACCTTAAATTCCCTATCACGTGAAAAAAGCCATTTGCTTAAGATTAAAATATCAATCACATTAATTGCTGAAATGAGGAAGACTACATCATTAGCATGTCATCTGTTGAATAAAATAGCACCAGCATTCAATATTACACCAACACACCATAATGTTTTACTACATAAATAAAACATGAATGGAATTATTATAGAGGTGTTACTTAACTTAAATAATGACCCAATAAATGTATTTGAACACTGTTTAATTGCTGTCTAAATGTAACCAACCAGGAGCCCCACAGCCTCAGAATTACCATTGAATTAGGGGCCATCTACACTGCAAAACCTTCCTATTTTGTCAAAACATCTGCAAAGTTATGCAGAAACCCACAAAATACACTGAATACAGCTGAAGTTGTCATTATCTCCATTTTCCATATTACTAATACCCAAATTATTTAATTCATTAGACTTTCAGCTTTTTGACAATGAATTCTGCCTTCATATACACAGAACAGCACCACATGAGCACCTTAAAGAACGTACCGTCAAACTACACATATTTGGAAAATAATTTAAAACTTCAATAAAGAATCCAAGTAAAGAATCAAGTTAATTCTAATTAAAGGCAAAAAGTACATGCTGTAGGAAAAACGTGCTCAACAGTTGAACAACTACAGTTTGAAAGTCCTGAGTGTGATGAGTCTTTTTATTAAAGATGCACAGCTTGTTGTTTTAAAAATATCTGATGATAATAAAAACAAGAACAATAAAATCACTTGATCTGCACCTCAGATAATAGGGAATGCTGTTACAAGTGGGTGACAGAACAGTGCTCTAGCCAGGCCCACTAAGAACTTAGAACCCACTACTTTTGCTTTTCTGATTAGAATTTGGTTTGTGCTAAACACAGTTATTCCCATAGTTTTCAGACATCCTTTCAGTATAGCCCCTTTGTTATGTATGATACAATTTTATTTTATCCATACTCCAGATCTACAAAATCTGCAGCAAAAGCATTTATCTGCTATATCATCTGGCAACAGATCTATCTTGATGTTGATACAATCCTACCCCTAAAAGCAGGCATACTCTTTATGTCGCTTATGTGAAAAACACGATCTCAATTCCCCACTCTCATTTATTGTTTGGTTTTTGTGGTTTTTTTTTGTATGTTTTTTTTTTTGTTTGTTTGTTTGTTTGGTTTGGTTTGTTTGTTTGTTTTTCCCCCTAAATGCAATTACCAGGAAACATAGACAGTTAAAATACTGAATGTGCAGAAGGTGCCTTATATTTTAGTTTGTAAATAACCTTCTCTCCTCCAATAAAATGCAGGAGGAAATCATAGTAACTTCCAGGGAGATTAGAAGAGCAGCTCTCCAAAATGAATGTTGAGTGCAGCTTGGAGCACTGCTAAAAATCACACATCATTTCTAACATCTGAAAAATGGTAATAGCGCAGTAATGCTGACACAGATGAAAAGGTTGATCATTTATACCTCATGAGAATGTAGACATTAAAAACGAGTCACCAGGGACTTTGAAGCCCTATTCAAAGACAACAACAAAGGTGCCTACCTCCTACGCATAAGCAAACTACCATAATAAACCCTCTGCCTACATTCTCACGTGCACTATTCATTTGCAGAACCATTTTGGAAATGTAGGGTCTCTTCCTGCAGACATTTATTTATGCTTGGATAGCCAGTTGCTTCTGGCTTCTCAAGTAAGTCAACAGACCACTCAAGCTGCTGAAGGTTTAAATTTCCATTTACGTACATTGCTTCTGTTGAAGGCTCTGCAAGTACAGATTTTTTTTTTTTTGGTGAAGAGTTAAAGCAGAGAATTTAAGAGCTTATTAGGGTTCATTTTTATAAAGATAAGTGTTCAGCATTTCCCTGTGTTATAGTACTACCTTTGGCACTAAACACACACTTTGAGTAAATACTTCAAAGTAGGTGATAACACACTATGCCAAAGCCAGTCTTAACTGACTTCCAATTTCACTAGTAATACAAAGTTCCTTTGTTTATTAAAACAAATGCTTAAAATTCAAAAGATGCAACTCTAAGCAGTTGATGAACTTTCCAACTCTTTCCTATTTGGCTACCACGTTTCTCAGCATCTGTGGTGATGGAGTCCATTGCTTAAGGTTTCTATTGGATTGAAGGTGCTTCAGCAATAGGATAAGCCAAAAATTTTTATTTGCTAAGACTACTTTACTTCTAATCTGTAAGGAACTGCAGACTGTGACTATTCGAAGTGACTTTGTAAAACCAATAAAAAATCCCACACATGCACAAATGAACAGACCAACTACAGTAGAAAAGGGCCTGCACTAATATCCTTTCCCCTTCCTCTCTCCCTTTTAAAACAGACTAAGCTTTCAGTTGCTAAAAATTGTTCTCCCAGATGTAGGCTAGAGGCGCAAGGCTATCTCAAAAATCAGGCATTTAAACTCCCAGACATGGAAAATGAGGAATAAAACATGGTGACTAAAGACCTGCACACAGACCATGTTTTTAAAATAATTCTGCATTTGATACTTCAGGAGTACCACTTCTGGTGACAGTACGTATCACATCCTTCAGCTCCTCACAGAAACTTCTGTGGAACAAAAGCAACCCTACCAAGTGTCAGCTCAGTACCCAGAACACTTTGGTTAAGAGACTATGATGCCTGTGATGCTTCTCCTATATGAAGTGTAGATTATACAAACAGAAAATTCAGTGCAGCAAGTGTACTTCCATATAATTTTAAAAATAACATTAGCAGTTTTTAGGAATTTATAATTTTAAGAATTAGTAGAAAACTCTGTTTCCTTTCTCATTGAGACAAGACCCACTGTTTGTTTTTCAAAGCTGCAAGCTATACTGATAAGCATTTACACTTCGGTAATTCATCCTGAAGCTTTGTTTTCATCAGCCAGAACACAGCAAGTCGTAAGAAAAAGAAGAAAAATTTTGGTAAACATGCAGAACGGGAGTTTACAAAGCAAGCAGCGTTCATAACGTTGGGTGCTTATAACTATTCCAAAATTAT